TTGTGACGGTCTGGACATGAATATAACTGCGAATGGATTGGAGTGCGAATGAGACTCAGTAGTACGAGCGCGTCTCTGCGCATGAGCCTGGGGCCTCCTGGGGCCTCCTGAAACCTACTGGGGTTTCCTGGGGTCTCCAGGAGCCTCTTGGGGCCTCCTGGGACCTCCAGGGACCTCCTAGGGAGGTTTCGTGCCCCAGGAGAGGCCCAATCTATAGCAACAGACGTACATAAAACATTGCGGATTAGAGCCACAGGAGAAGGGAAATCTATAGGAACACACGTAAAACACCAAGGACTCGTGGCCCAGGAGAGGCCAATGATATAGGAACATGAGTAAAACATGTAGGATTGTGCACACAGGAGAAGGACAATCTACAGAAACATACGTATAACATCAAGGAATCGTGCTCCAGGTGAGGCCCCATCGATAGGAGCATACATAAAACACATGGGATTGGAGCCACTCCTGTTGCCTTCTGAAGCCTCCTGCTCCTGGGGCCTCTCGGGGCCTCTTGTTGCCTTCCGAAGCCTCCTGGCGCTTCCTGCGGCCTCCTGGGGCCTCCTGTGGCTTCCTGAGCCTTCTGGAGCTTCCTGGGGCCTCCTGGAGCCTCTTGGGACATCCTGTGGCCTTTTGAGTCTTTCTGTGGCCTCCTGATGCCTCCTGGGACCTCATGTGGTCTCCTGCGGCCTCCTGGAGCCTGTTGGAGCCTCCTGTGGCATCCTGAGCAGAATCTGCGCCCACAAGCCTGGCCACCAAAACAGCCAAACCGATCGAGACATCCTCAAAATCGGGGGGGAAATGAGCGCGCTCGAGACATCCTCCAAATCTGCTCAAAAAGCGAAGGATGTTGGGACAGAAACCAAGCAAACCGCTTGAGACATCCCCACAAAACGGCCGCGAAAGGGACCGTGAAAACACCCCTGGCGGCTCCCTTCAGAGATGCTGAAACCAGCGCCCCGCCTGAGACATCCTCACAATCTGCTCGGATAGCCAAGGATGTTGAGACAGAAAACAGGCAAACCGCCGGAGACATCCCCACAAAATTGCTGCGAACGGGACAAGTAAAGCACCCCTGGCGGCCCCCCTTAGGGATGATGAAACCAGCGCCCCGCCTGAGACATCCTCATAATCTGCTCGGATAGCCAAGGATGTTGGGACAAAAAACAAGCAAACCGCCTGAGACATCCCGACAAAATTGTTGCGAACGGGACCGTGAAAACACCCCTGGCGGCTCCCCTTAGGGGGGCTTGAAGCCAGCGCACCGCCTGAGACATCCTCACAATCTGCTGTGTGTGGAATAGATCAGACAATGAAGAGGTCTGAGTACGAGCAGGTCTGAGTATGAGTAAGTCTGGGAACAAGTCAAAGTATTAGTTAGCCTGGGGATGAGTGAGTCTCAGCATGAGTAACTCTGAGTAGGAGTAGGTCTGAGTATGAGTAGGTCTGAGTATGAGTAGGTTTGTGTCTGAGTAAGTCTGGGTATGAGTAAATCTGAGTGTGAGGAAGTCTGAGTATGAGGATGAGGAGGAGAAGGAGAAGAGGGAGAAGAAGGAGTAGGAGGCGTCCAAGTAATAACAAGAACCCCATCTTAGGATATGGGGAAAAATCGAAAACTCGAAAAGTCGAAAAGAGCAGCGCTGAAATACCCCAGAAATTGAGACATCAAAAAATCAAGAAGCGTTCGACTTTTCGACTTGTTACGCTGATGCACTTCTGCGCCCCTCTGCGGCGAGAGCGCCACGCGGCGCGCATGGGAGGTCCCTCGACGCGTGAACTCGAGAAGTCGAAGAAACGAAAAGTCAAACAGCTTTTGGCTGATCAACTTTTCGACTTTTCGCGGGCACCGACGGCCTGCTCTTGGAGTTTACGATCTTCCGCCTTTCTGACTTTTCGAGCTTTTCGCAAAACCAAAAATGATATTTTCAAATTTGAGCGTCTGGCTTTTTTCCGGTGCTTTGCAGGCCTGGGGCTGGCCCTTCGCGCTGGGGACGCAGTTGGAGAGGGGAGGTGGAAGGGAAATCGGAGTTCGAGGCTTCAGCTTCGGGTCGTTTAAAAACCTTTCTGGACCTCCGCGGTCAAAAAGAGCAACCGCGGAGCAATAGTGAGTGACATGCGCGCGCCGCCTTTAAGCTGAGCGTGCGCACAGAAATTACAAAAGCGAATTGTTGTTCCTCCGTGCTTCCTTCACGCATCATCAACCAGTACTGCACGATTCGCACCGTGACGTGAGATGGAACACAGCCTGAGTGGCCTGGAACGCCATACGTGGATCGAGATGCGAGGAGGGAGGATAGAGGACTGAGTTTCGAAGATTGAAAAAGATCGAAGCCTCTTGGCGCTGTCAGCCTGGTTCGGGCCTCCTGGGGCCAGGAGGCCTAGATACCTCCTGGAGCCTCCAGGGGCATCTAGAGAGCTCTGGAAGCCTCCAGAAAAATCCAAAGCGGAGAAAATCCTGAGCCTCCGCGGGCGCGATCAGGAACGAGCAAGACAAGATGTGGGAGCAACTAAGCCAAACGAAACCAGGGGCTAAGCTAAACGAAGCTGGATTTAGCGGGGCTGCATTGGCTTGAAAAAAAAATAAGGCCAGGCTAGGCCAGATGAGAAACACTGAATATGACGCCTGATGCCTACAATCATCGTGCGACCATAAAGAAACATGCTGAATCAGGTGCGACGGGGCTTTTCCGGCCACGGCGAGCTTCAACCACGAACAGGTCCCTGGCCCCTACCTAGATGGGAGGAACGGCCCGAAAGCCAGAGCCGTTCTTGAGCTCGAAGTGGTCCTTACCTCAGCGCATTCATTTTGCGCGAGCGGGGGTAAGTTTTCGACGTCGCCAGCGCTCGGAGCGACGAGGACGGAGGGCAGAAAGGCCCCATCGGAGCCTGAGATCTGGTCTAAGCCGGCACGCTCCGCCTCAAAACGTGCGCTTTGGCAGCCCGAGGATCGGCCAGAGATGTTCCGGACACTCACAGATCGAATCGACTCGAAAAAAACAAGCCCTTAATCAGGGTCCTGTACATAGGAACTGCAGGAAACAATGACATTGGCACGACCGAGAAAACTGCAGCCATGTGTCCAAACATTCTCGATTGTTTGACTTTTCCAGCTGTATCTTGCAACGTCCTCGCTTGCAGTGTCCAGATTTTAAGAGGCCCTGGGTAAAGATGGTGTCCATGAATCCGACATTTTATTGTAAGGCTTTGCGATCTTGGTCACGAACGCAGGCCTCGGGGCAAACCGATCCTACGACAATTTTGTGTCGTGGCGACTCCAGGATTGGTTCATGACACCGCGTGGATCGTTCAACCTTGAACGATCGGCGGTTTCCGATCGCCAGATCGTTCCATATTGACATTCTGGGCCACTGGCGGCGTGCAATTTTGAACGCCCGCGGCTTGGTCGCCGTTGCGTCGACACGACGCGAACCCGCCGTACAAGGGCCAATCCAGAATCGGTATGCACGTCCTCCCATCCGGGCCTGGCGAAAGACCAGTTGCAGCACGTAATAAGGATGCAACGTAAGGGTGCCAGGCCTTGAGGCGACCAAGTTCCAACTACATTGAAGGGCTGGCCAGCGATGTGTTCAACAGTATGGCCGAAAGGACGAGGATACACAAGGACATCCTTGCGAAATCGCATCGTCCTTCCAGAGGAAAGATACGTTGAGCCATCTTGCAATATGGAATATGGGGCACATTGTTTGGTCGGCCTTGGACCTTGCGAGACTGCTTCCACACCTCCACTGGGTGCTTGGGGCCTTCGGGGAATGCCAAACATCCATGCGGCTCCTGCTGGCAAGGTAATGCTTTTACTCCGTGCGCATACGGGTCGTCCGTGTCGTGGCGACGTAGCCGTTGTCTTCTGACGCTGCATTTTTCGCTCACCCAGGAATGGTCGCGGCTATGCGAAAGCGCAGACCGTTCAGTGTTGGACGAATGGCCGCTGGTGGCGTTTAATGTTCAACGCGGTGCGGCCGTCGCCGGGTCACCACGACACAGGCCGAATGTTGGTCACGGACTCGGCGATCGCGCGAGTCAGTCGGGCAAAGCAGGGTTATTGCAAAACTCAGCTGCGCAGACAGAGGCGGGGAGAAGGCGAGCGGCGGCCGCTGAGGAAGAGGATACAGCAAGTTCGTGCGGCGTCGGCACGAGCAAAGATTTTTGACATCGCGTCGATCGTTCAACCTTGAACCGATCGCGGCCCCGATCGCTCAAGGTTGAATTCAGTCGGGCAGTGCCTCCACGTCGTTCGATCATGCGTAGATCAACCTCGAGCACCTTCGCTGGCGTCGCTGCCGCATGAACCTACCGCAGTAAGGCGGCCCCCCTTCAAAACATGCACAGGTCCCGTGGCGGCGTGATGCGGCCCAGGCTCCCGCGGAGAGCTGCAGAGTCTGGCGCGCCCGGGTGCGTCCAGGGAGAAGGCCGTGCACAGGTGCAGAGGTGCAACCGTGCTACACTGCACGCAGTGGTTGAATACACCTACACCTCATCCTCCTCCTCCTCCTCCTCCTCCTCGCCGATGCGGCTCGATGCGGAGCCAGATTTGCTTCACGTCGACGTCGCCGATGAATCGCCCAAGTCGACGATGCATCGGCGATGTAGCGCGATCCTCCGACACAATCTACTCAGACCCCATCTACTCCCACCCCGCCTGGGAGGCCTAGAAAGAAATCTTCCACAAGAAGCCCAGCCCTGAGACCCAAGGACGTCCATGGATTTTTGGCGTGGGAACGTCACGCTCTCCATCGCAAGAACATCGAAGCCCAAGAAACCCAGGGCACCCTGGAGGCAAGCAGGATGTTTCTTGGCATGCGTTTCCACTGAAGACCGCTTGCCTTGTGGATGCCATGGCAATGGACACTCTAACAATCCTATCATTGAATAAAAGATGTGTTTAAAATGTGTGGAACATGTTCTAAACATGTCTCAAACATGTTTTTACATACTTCAAGGATGTTTGAAACATGTTTACAACGCTTGCCCTCCCCCGGGGCCTCAGGTGAGCGGCGTCCGCCCCCACCCCGCGCCTCTCCATGGCGGCCAGCACCTGGCAGCACCGAGGGCGGGGCGCGCACGAGATCGGCCGCTCAATGGGACGCTCAGAAGCATACCAGTGCTATACGTCCTCCTTGGAGGCGCGCGTCCGACCCGAGCGTATAGTATACCCGTCCTGTGGTATATCGTTTCCCGAGCGGTGTGGCCAGAAAGCGCCGCTCACGACGCATGTGCTATGAGATTTCTCGGTGTGCGCGTCGCCCCTGGGGGGGGGCGACGCACATATAGTGTAAGTATGTTGGGGTGACCTCGAGCCCAGGTCACCCGACCGTCGCGCCTGGCTCTTCCCTGGGCTCCGACGTTGCGAGGACACTGCAGCGTCGCGAGCCAGCACGACCAGAGCCCCAGGCCCAGCTGCCTGCGGCACTCTTCGAGCCGGGTCGATCTAGGATGGTCCTGGGGCCCGAAGCCGGCCGAGAACGCCCCGTGCGAAACGATTGCCACGCCCAGACCTCAAGGAAGAGCAAGAGCAAGAGCCCGCGTCGAGGCACCCACGGGGGTGCGGCGGGAGGGCGCCGGGGAGCCTCAAGGAAGGGCATCCGCACTGGCACATTTGTTCCTGGCTTTCGGGTTTAACCACGGCCCTCCGGCGGCCGTTCTCGGCGGTGGACAAGCCTCCCTCTAGTAAACCTCCCTCTGACGAAAACGGCCTGGGACCGAAACCGACGGACCTGGACCCGCGAAAATGACGGCCGCGACGCCTTCTCGAGAACCGAAAACGGCCAATTCCTTAATCGACGTGTCAGGGTCGGAGGTCCATCCACCTCCGATCATCTCTGAGGGCCCGCGGGCCCCCAGAGGGCGCGCCTCGGGCGCCGCGGCCGCTCCGGGGCGCTCTCCACAGCGCTCCGAGGGTGCTCCTGAAAAACCCTGACACACGATGGATGGGGGGAGGAAGACGGAGGAGGGAGGAAGAAGGAGGAGGGAGGAAGAGGGAGGAGGGAGGAAGAGGGAGTAGTAGGGAGGAGGAGGAGGAGGAGGAGGAGGAGGAGGAGGAGGAGGAGGAGGAGGAGGAGGAGGAGGAGGAGGAGGAGTATGGGCACCCAGAAAGAGAACGAGAAGAGGGCAATCGGACACGGCGCGAGAAGAGGTTAAGATGATGGTTCTCCCGCGCCACCACCGCCCAAAAACTAGTTCTCAGAAGTCGTGATCGTTGATGATGGCATGAGCATCGCGGAGAGCTCAGGCGGCGAAAAAGAGCTCCAGGCAGCAGAACTCGTTGATGGCGTAACGGTGTGCGTCTTCTCGTCGAGCTCGGGCGGCAGCGCCATCTCGACGGTCTCTCTCGGCACTAGCAGGTCGGCAGTTTCGCTCGGCGTGAGCTCGGTGTCGGGGTCCACGGGCTTGTTCGTGATCAGCGGGGTGGAGAGGTCGATGGCGTTCAGAACCTCCGTGAAGCCGTTGCTGCACGCAGGGCTCCGAAGGTGATCGCAGAGGTCGCTGAAGTAGCTCTCGAAGTGGCACGAGCCGCCCCGAAGGTCAGGAAACACCTCGTAGCCTTGAAGACGCCGTACGTGTTGCTCAAGGGCGTCGATACGCTGCTGCATCTCCAGCGCGTCGCTCTCGATGGTTCGGCAACGCTCCTCGAGTTTGTCGACGATCTCGCTCCGCACGTTGTTGACCTTACGCGCCAGCGCAGGAAACTGCATCTTCAGCTCCTCGGCGGCGGTCTGGGGCCGCTGCATCTCGACGAACTTCCAGCGTGGATCTTCAGGAGCGGGAAGCGGTGCAGACGTCACGCGGGTTTTCATCAAGGCGGCAAGCTCGGAGCGCGCGTCGACGACCTGCTGCTGGATCTCGTTGATCTTCGCCATCAGCTCCGTGATAACCTGCTCTTGGAGGAAGGCGATGGCGGGCTGCATGACGTTGGAGAGCATCGCGGATTGCTGTGAGATGAAGGACCCTTCCTACCAAAGCGTGAAGCCCGCCTGCAGCCTGGAGTCGAGCTTCTGATCGACCATGGAGAGGAGCGAGCTCTGGAGCGTGGGGATATTCTCGTCAATCGTGGCATGCAGGGTGTCGCTGAGCTGAGTGGCGTGCCGGAGCGCGGCCTCCACGGGCCCCACGGCGCACTCTGTCTCGGGCGGGGAGGACGCGGCCAGCGAGTTCAGCTCGGGGAAGACGGCGTCGTAGGCGTCCGGAGACGCGCTTGTTAGCTGAGGGCAGAGCAGACATAGTGGGGGGTGTAGTACTGCTCGCAGGTGAGGTGCGAGATGTAGCAGTCCAGCATTTGTGGCGAGCGATGTTGCCAGCCATGTTCCAGCGGTTGAACTCCTGCTCCTCCTGCGGGGCGAGGTGGCCCTGTGCAGCTGCCGCAGCGCAGAGCTCGGAGCCGTTCCGCCTGTGGATGCCCGTCTTCGTCTCAAGAATGCGCACGTTGTCGGTCGCCTTGGCGAGGATCTTCGCCTCGCGGGATACGGCTGCTGGGACCGTGATGCGAGCCAATGCGGGGCCAGCACGAAGGTGTAGGAAGCCTTTGTCCACCGCACGTTGGCGGCGAGAGTCCAGAGCGGCGAGTGATCGGCGACCGCGAGGACGTAGTGGGTTGTTGAGCATCACCGCGCGTGCGGCGCAGATGAACGTGAACGAGAAGAGGACCCGGAACATCATGCCAGGGCCTCCGCTCTTGCAGAGTCGCCGCTCGGGTCCCGGGGCTGCGCGCGCAGGATTGGCACTTGAGCCAAAATGGCTACGGAGGAGGAGGAGGAGGAGGATGCAGGAGGAGGAAGAGGAGGAGGAGGAGGAAGAGGAGGAGGGAAGGAGGAGGAGGAGGAGGAGGAGGAGGAGGAGGAGGAGGAGGAGGACAAGGAGGAGGAGGAGGAGGATGCAGTCGTTTCACACCAGGCGTTGCTCGCCTGATTTCGGGCCCTGGGGCCATCGCAGATCGATCCGCCTCGAATGAAAGGGGCCCCAGGACACACAAATAAATACACAGAAATTCGCCGGCCCAACGGGCCAGAGGCGTGCTAAGATCTCCGGTAACTGGTTAACACTATTCTACTTCGCGCGCGCGGGGCTGCCCCCTGGGGGTCTCCGGGCGAAAAGTACCCCGGCAGGGTCCCGGCAGACTCGGGTCAGAGATGGTTTTCGGGGCAATGTTTTGACACCCCTCACGAGGATCGTGGCCTCCGAGGGGGGAGCCGCAATTGACTACCCCCCCTCCCGCCCAAAGAGGCCCCCAAGAGCCCCCCAAGAGACCTTGGGGGCCCCCAAGACGCCGCCAAGGAGCCCCAAGAGACTCCCAAGAGGTCCCCAAGAGGCCCCCAAGAGGCCCTAAAGAGGGCTCCAGGGCCGGCGGAACAAGCGAAGCGATTCAATAAAAATAAAAGATTCCCCATCTTTTCCCATATGTTCTGGGTTTTGTCTTCCCCCCCACTTCCCATATGTTCTTTTAGTTTCTGGGAAATCGACGATGAATTGTGTCTGTGTGTGTTTTCCCCTCCGGATCGACAGCTGCTGCAGCAAGCCTGGGCCCAGGGCTCGGGCCGTGCCGCCTCCCTCCGCGGCAGCTCTCTCGCAGCGTCGGCTCTGTGGGGATCTGTTTTCACGCCGTCGACCCCAAAAGTCTGCACCCTTTCCCTCCTCCTCCTCCTCCTCCTCCTCCTCCTCCTCCTCCTCCTCCTCCTCCTCCTCCTAGGGCTCCCAACTTCGCGCTTCGCGCTCCGCGAAGCGCGAAGCGCGAACAACTTCGCGCTCTCGCGCCGCCCCCCGAAAGGGAGAAAAGGAGGACGAGGAGGAGGAGGGAGGAGGGGGAGAAGGAACGAGGACCGCGAAGCGCGAAGCGCGAATAACTTCGCGCCCTCGTGGGAGCCCTTGCTTTCCCCTGGACCGGTTTCTCATCCTGAGCCGTTTTTTGATGGGCCTGGGGCCCGGCAAATGCCCCTGGAGGCCGACAAGAGCGAAACAAAAACATCCCGTCGTGAATTTTTTCCACAACGCGAGGAGGGCAGGGTCTGTTGGTGCCCCGGGGCTGAACGACCTGGCCAAAGGGGCGCCAGTACCTGTCGTAGAACTCCCACAGCGTGCCCGCGCCCGGGGGCGCGCCCGAGAGCGGCCGGCACGGCGTCGCCTCGAGCCTGGCAGGCATGAGCTGGACAAAGCCGAGAGATCGAATCGGGTCGGCAACGGGTCGGATCGCCAGCGAACCGTCCCGAATCGGATCGAAAACGGATCGCCGCGCCAGGCTCCGGCCGTCACCCGCCGATGCAGGTGAAACGGACCGAATCGAATCGAATCGGAATCGCGGCCCCAGCTGGCGGGTCGAAGCGCGTCGCATGGAATCGTAGGCGGCCCTGCCTGGCCCGCAGGTCGCGGTACAGGTGGAAGACGCAGACCGCCGCCCAGGCGGCGAAGTCGATCCAGTGGCCTCGCGTCTCGGCGCCGGACTGGAGGGAGAGGGGCCTCTGGGGAGAAGCAAAACCCTGAGTTCCTGGCGGCTCAATCCCACCAGCCCTTTGGGCGCAGGTGGTCTATCGATATCTTTCTTCCGTCTTACAAACCCCCTCTGCCCCTTCGGGGAAGGGATGACCCCTCCCCCTACCCCCTCCCCTGGACCCGGACGGGGGGGGCCGCGAGGTGGCAAAGGGCCCCTTTCCTGTCAAGATGGCTCCTAGATGGTCAAAGAGACCAAGATAGCTTCCAAGATCACTCAAGATAGCCCAACCTGGTTCAAGAAAACTAGCAGCATGCTTCCAAGAGGCCCCAAGAGAGCCACAAGACGGTTCCAGGTGCTCTCAGAACTCCTTCGGGCCCCCCCCGAGAAACCAACATCTATCAAAAACCTATGGAAAATCAATGATGTTTGCCTTCTCGCCTTTTCGCTTCCGATGCGATTTCGAAGCCTCAACATGGCCCCAAGATGGCCCAAGAAAGCTCCAAGAGGCCCACAAACGGCCCCAAGAGCGCCCAAGATCGCCCCATGAGCGCCCCAAGGGGGCCCCAAGAGGCGATTTTGATGGCCCCGGATGGGGGGGGGAAATCGAGGACCCCCCTGCGTTGATGGATGGTCTCCAAGACGGCTTCAACAGGCGTTCCATAGCTCCCAAGAGGACCCCAAGAGAACGCCAAGAGAGCCCCAAAAGAGCCCCAAGAGGGCCTCCTGAGGGCCCTGAGACGCCCCCCCAAACCCAGAGATCTCTCGGTCCACCCTGGTTGCTCGCTTTGTTTCCCTAAATATGTCTCCTCGTCCCTTTTCCCGCCAGCTATCGTGGGCAAAGTTTCTGAAATGGCTGGTAGGGGTACTTTTTCGTCGCGGCCGCAAGCGAGCGCGCCAGCAGCGTCAGAGGTCGGGCGGGCCACGCGCGAACCGAATTGCCTGGCGCACTGGGTCCGATGGCCGAACCTAAGCTGCCTAAGCTGCCTAAGCTGCCGGGCTGCGCGAGGTGGTGCCAGGAAGCGGGGCAGAGCCCGAAACCTTGCCGACGCGATGCTAACGGCAACCAGGACCAGGAGCCGGGGGCAGTGCCGATGCACAAATTAAACCAAGGAGCTATACGCAGCCAAAATGGCGCGGCAAGGTCACAGACAGAGAAGCTGACAAGTGACCGCTGGGGGCGTGTAAGACTTGAGGTAGGAAAAACCACACGAGGGATCCATACACACAGCCCCTGAGGTGGGCTGCTCGCTTGCGATACGCGCCAGGAGGTAATGCTAACACCGATGGCCAGGAGTACGCCACTGACCGGGAACCAGTACGAGTGGCGCCACCGAAGTCGCACACTCCACTGCTGAGAGAAAGGATGCGGGGCAATCCCTCCTCCGAGTACGAGAGGAAGAGCCGGCCAGGAAAACGATGGAAGGGAGCACCGAAAACCCGAACGGATCGGCCACGCGCCTGATGCTGCCAACCAGGAATACGATGGATAAGGTCGACATCGAACGCCTGTGCGGAATGGCAGCACGCATAAAACTGCCAAGTGAACTGCCGATAGCAGGGCTAAGCACCTCACCCAGGACAGCTGCATTAGCGCGGCAAGCGCCAGAAGCGAACTGGGAGCGCCCGGCTGGCGAGGGGGGGCCCGAAGGGAGTAAGGGCCAGAACGAAGCGTGGCATCGCCGTCTTTGCGCGGGGAGCGGAGGGCGCCGAGGCGCGGTGAAAACAACTACAGCGAGGCCAGGGGCCAACTAGAACATGTGGACCACGGCCCCAGCGGCAGTCCACGTGTCGACATTGTCAGCAGGCAGCTGCCAGGGTCCCAAGGGCGGGGGGCAGCGGGCGCTGAAGGAGAGTAAAGGAGACCAGGAAAACGGCTGAAGGCCGCACGTTCAATGGCGGCGCAGGAGGAGAAGAGGGAGGCAGAAAGCGCCACCAGGAAGTGGCTGAAGGCCGCTGGTTTGCCGAAGAGCAGATGGATCACCGCCATGTGCGGGAGCGCTTGTCGCCTCTTCCGTCGCCGCTGTGGTCGCCGCCCCGCTCGCCTCCTGTCTGCCAGTCGTTGGCGCCCCAGGAGTGTGTCCAGGACCGGCTGTCCCAGTCCGGGATTTCTCTGAGCTGGACGCGCGGCCGTTTGGCTGGTGGCCGCCTTTACCCTGACGCCCCATGCATTTTCGCGCCCCTCGTCCAAATCAACCCGCAGGTCGAGTTGCCGATCCAGCTCATAGGCGTCGAATCCACAGCGTTCCCAGGCGTCCAGGAAGCTGCGGCAGGTGGCCTCGGGGTTCAGTGCAAGGTTGCCTTTCGGTATTCCTTTGACTCCCGCAGTGTGCTTCCTGGTGCATGCGTGCCAGACGCCGTTGAACGCGTCCCCCAGGTCCTTCTGGAGTCGCGCGATCTTGGCTGCTGGCTTCTCGCCGAACCTGTTGAAGTCAACGTTGATCAGCACCTCCTTGCAATTGCGGCCTCCGTCCACGGGGCCAGCGAGATCGTCGAAGGCACGGCTGGCGGCCTTGCTGTGTCTCCTGCCCCCAGGGGTGTCGCATCGCGGGAGTTGTCGGCGTTCTGCCTCCACCAGGGGCGCCGCTTGTGGCCGCTTGACTTCCAGGATCTGGCCTGCGCTGCGAGCCGCTGCTTTCCCGGGCCCCAGCAGAGCCATGTTCGGGCCTGTGGGGCGCACCCTCGGCCGGCGCCTCGCTAGAGGGCTCGGCCCTGCTCCCGCCCGCCGCAGCTTGCCCGAGGGCGCGCAGGGGGTCGTCGAGAGGGCTGTCGTCGGCCGCGTCGCCAGCTGTGTCGAGCGAAGGTGGGAAGGAGCTGCCTTCCTGCTCGGCTGCACCTTTTGCGTCTTCAGCAGGCGGCGGCGAGGCCGCTGGTCGGGCCTCGTCGGCGCCTAAATCGACCTCATCGCTGTCGGCCTTATCGGTCGGCGATGGGTTCCTTGGAGAGCCCGCTGCCTCTCTACCAAGGAGGATCTCTGTCACGTCCTGCTCTGCCGCCTGAAGGGCGCGGTTCGCCTGCTGCGCGGGGGGGTCGGCCTCCTTGGGCTGGGCCGCGTCGTCGGGTTGGGCCTTGGGGCCCGCGTTGCATCGGCCTCTGTTGTTGCTGTCTCCTCGGTCTTCGGCGCAAGCCAGGACCTCGTGGCCTCCCTCGGGGATGCCGAGTGCGCCTCGTCCAGGCCCACAACAGGGGCGTCTTGTTCGGCGAGGTTTGTGATTGAGGCAGCTTCGAGCACTCCGGGGTCCAGGCTGGCCAGGAAGCTGGCCAGGACGGCGGGCTCGCGGCGAAAGGGACTCGGGCCCCTGTCGGGCGCCAAGACCGCGCAGCGCGCCTCCCAGGCCTCCTTGTGCGTCGCACTACTCATCAGATGCCCGATGCCCGACAACTCTTGCTGCAGCCCATCTGTTGCCGTCCCATGGGGCGCCCCCGGGACGACCATCTTGCGGTATTTCTACGCCGTAGATCCTGGCCAGGAAAAGTGTCAGCTGGTGGGCGGGCCAGGAGGTTCCCTGATCCTTCGGTGCTGGGACCTGTGCGCCTTCCGCTTTTACGTGGTCGGTCCAGCAGCCGCCCAGCGCGGGGTGGTAGTCCCGCAGGTAGGCGACCAAGATATGCTGGGCCTCCTTCAACTTGTTGGAGCGGCTGCGCTTGGAGTCGTTTGTCTCCTCCATGGCGAGTGCGGAGATTTGTCTGCAGCGGAGTCTTGGGATCTCTGGCGGCGGCAAATCTGGGAGCAGCCTCAGGACCTTTGTTTTTTTTGGTTTGGAAAAAAAGGCCTGAGGTCCTGTCTGGTCCTCGGGACCTCTGGGACTGCGCGGATGCGCGAGTCGGGTTGGGACACGTCGCCGCCTCGCTACAGGGCCGGCTGAGGCCGCGCTGCGGGCGTAGGGATCGGGCGCGTTTGCGTCTGCTGCTGCGGGCGCGAGCTGGGTAGCCAAGTCGGGTGTGGCGTCGTCGCCGTCTGCCTGCTCTGTGAGACGTGGGCGAGCTGCTGGCTGCCGCGGGTAGACTGTCCGGGAGTCTCGGTCTATGATACAGTCCAGGGTCGCGGGCGCGACGTTCCAAATGTAGACCAGGCACCTCCTGCAGCACCACGCGGCGTTCCATTTCCGCCCTAACCAGGAGGGTGGCCACTGATCCCACTCGGGAAGACCTGCGCGCTCAGTGCTTCCAGTCTCGGCCTGGGCCTTCCAGATGAAGCAGCCGAGAGCCGCGGCGTCGACCTTCCATGCCAGGAGTGGGCTTCCAGGCGGGCATGCGTCGCACTCGGCGGAATAAGAGCCCGCATTGTGGGCCTCGCCGCCGAACGGTCCGTCCAGGATCCTTTTCGCTGGCAGTGTATTGTTGGCGATCTTCGGGCAGCGCTGGGTCGGCGGGACCATCGGGAGGTCGGTCAGCGCCCTGGAGTCCCAGGGGAGAAGGTTGCATCCGTAGCCTAGGGGCCAGTGGCTGGGGAGCCGAGGGAGCGCGCTGGCCTTGGGGTCGCATGGCCAGGCCGCGTAGTCCTGGACCTTGGCGGCCACGGTCGCTCCCGTTGGACTTGGGATGCCCCTTCTGTTGAGGCTGGCTACCCAGTAGGTCTCGCATAGCCAGGTGAAGTCCTGCCCCTCCAGGTATGCCTGAGGTCTGTTGCTGGCCAGGAGGTCCCTGACGATGTCGCCCCCCCTGGTCCCGTCGTTAGACTTCAACCGGTCTCGGAGCAGCCGTCGCAGGTGAAGAGCGCGTTCTTCTGCTCGCTCTGCAGCCTGTCATAGCTGATGGCCACGGGGACCAGCATCGTGCCAGGCGCGGGGGCTGCTGATTTGGGCGAGGCCAGATCAGTCTTGGAGAGGGCTGCGCCTCCGCCAATGTACCCCAGCGCAGGGTCGCCTCTGTCTTCACCCAGGTCAGCCTCTGACCCTGCTAAGGCAGTGTGGAGCGCGAATACGGAGCACTCGTAGTCTGCCAGGGGTGCAAGCGTGGCCGTGGGTACGATCTTTTACAAGACGATCATTGGAGCCTCGAGTTTGAAGTCGGCCTTCTCCATGTCCTT